GTACGTGTCTCTGCGATGTGTTGAGCTAATCGCCATACTCCTCATGAGAGGTATGTCAGCCGCATCAACATAATTTGCCAACCGATCCAAGTCCCAAGACTTTTCATGATTAATAAGATCACTCACTCTCATATTCGGATGCAAAGCCGGAATAGATGGAGTCGCTGGCCTCGCAGGGATTGTGGGAATCCAAGGGTCCTCCCATACTTTCACGTCATGACCTGAAAGTATATTCTGTCTAACCCCCAACAGTAGTAAATTCCGAGCAGCCGATCTGCTTGTCCACACATATGATGGGCTACTTACAGGGAGCTGTCGCAAAAGCGAACTCAACCGATAGTACCGCCCTCTCATAACTCAAGCTACCAGGGAATCTGGATATTCAGCCAATCTCCACAGTTTTTTAGCTAACAATGCCAGATTAAAACTCATGTATCATCCGGAAACCGATTCCTCCTTCCACTTTCGACTTGCAAAGTTTATCCCAGGTGGACCAGTGTAGACCCCTTTTTGGTGGATTTGAACTCCACCAGAACTTTGCAATGGCACTAGCCAAGGCTTCACATATTTCCAGTGGCAGTAGAAAACACGACATTACATATGTTGGTAAGGCTAGCAGAATTGACTTGATCATGACTTCCTTCCCCCCTTTGGATAACCACCTTCCTATCCAGCCATTTACTCGATTCCTAAGCTTATCCTTTAGGAAAGCAAAGAGCTTACATTTGGACCCACTGATATCCTCAAGGATCCCCAAGTACGTGCCCATCCCTCCTTCATTTTGAATCACTAGTGTATCTTTAATCTCTTGTCTGACCTCCTGACCAATTCTCTTACCGAAGAGTAGAGATGATTTGTCAAAATTAATACATTGTCCAGATGCTTGTCCATATTTTCTGACCACTTTCATTACTTCTTCACATTCACGGGGCTCCGCCTTGCAAAAGAAAAGGCTATTATCAGAAAAAAGTAGGTGAGATACCGAAGGACATGCACGCGTAATGCGCATCCCCGTTATCTTTCCCTGATTCTCTGCGTGATTTAGAAGGCTAACGAGCACTTCCGTGCATAGAATAAAAATGAAAGGGGACAGAGGATCCCCTGTCTTAGACCTCTCTCTGAAACAATATTTTCTCTTGGTTGGCCATTCATGAGAACCTTATACTTAACAGAAGTAACACATCGCATTATCCACATTATCCACATTATCCAGACTTCTGAGAAGCCCATCTTCCTCATGGTAGCCTTAATGAAAGATCACTCCATAAGATCATACGCTTTACTCATATATGTTTTAATGGCCATCTTCTTTATGCGTCCACTTGGCTTGGTCCTTAGAAAGGACTGAACATACGCTTACATACAAATGTCAAATAAATAAATGAAAAAAACGTATTGCCATCTGTTATCAAATCATGAGTATAAATATTAGATGTGACATTTTTTAGAAAGATTTAGATGTGATTTTGCTATTTAACAATGACAATGTGAATATTTTTAGGAAACAAATTTATTAACAAAATATATTATAATATGGTGAAAACCATCCAAATATTAAAATAAGTCAATAATTATACTATGTTTATATTAATACATATCACATATACAAAATAATATTAAATATGGTGGTAATATCATAAATGGATTTTATTGTTTTTAAGTTTAATTAATGAGATCGTTCTGTAATTTAATATAAACTTAAATCCAGGTTAACAAAACCCAACTCGACCCAATCCATAAACCTAATCCGACATAACTTTTCTTATTATTTCCCTAAATCGATTTCATTAGGATCAAAATGAAATAAAATTAGGGATTTCGAAAGAGAGATTTAGAGAGATTTGAGAGATAGAAAGACTCAATATCTTCATAATATAGACACAACAAGATTCAATTTCAGGGTTCGTAAGAAGGTTTGGTGAAATTGATTACGGGTTCGTAAGAGAATTTGGTGAAAGTGATTTTGTATTTCCAAGTTTGAGATATTTTGGCCGATAACCCATAGTAACAAAGCACATTGCCTTTAGTTTCTTTACTTTTTTTTTATTGCTCGATCCTCCACCAAATTCATCTCTCTTTTTCTCTGTTTTTAATATGTTTAAAAAATTGATATGAATCCTAATATATAATGAAATCGATTTGGTGATAAATTATTAGATCTCAGGTTTATGGGTTGGGTCGGATCAGATTTTGTTAATCTATATTTAGGTTTATTAAATTATAGAATGATCCTACTAACTAAATTTAAAATCAGTTAAACTCGAATATGATGTTGTCACTATATTAAATTTTATTTCATATTATGTGACGTATTAGAGAATACGTCGTGTGTTGATAAACATTTTTCCTATTTATAAGTTTAAACAAATAAACTTCTCTCTTGCATATATATATAGTGCTGGACATTAATACTCGCTACTCGTCTTAAACTCGTTACTCATCCCGTACTCACCTCATTTTTTCAAGTACTCGTCATCATCAAATCGAGTATGAAATAATGGAATTTAAATACTTGCAAGTAGAAGTCAAGTAACAAGTATGTAAAAAAAAGAATCAACTACTCGACTTGATCTTACTCGTTACTTGCTTAGAAAATATGTTTTTGTTATTGTGTAAAGTAAATAATATTTCATTAGAGATATTTTATATTTTTCTTCATTCTTATTCTTTATATTATGTACAAATAATTTATTTATATTAATTTCGTGTTTATTCTTTGTACAACAACAAAAATAAACTCCTATTTTCATTTTTCGGTATAGTATTATTCAGTAAGTAATTTTTAAATACTTAAAATTACATTTATGTTACTCACAAATAATCACAAGTAACTCATAAATACTCATACGTAACTTACAAATACTCACAAATAGTAAGTAATAAAATATAACAAGTAACTTATAAGTAATTTATTTTTTAGTAAGTACTCGCAATAACAAGTACTCGTTTTTGACAAATTAAGTACAAGTCGAAATTTTCATTACTCGTACAAGACAAGTCAAGTATTGAGTATTGCTAAAATAGTAAGTATCCGCCTTGTGCCCAACCCTATATATATATATAGTTAGATTATCGTAAGTTTTTGGTAACATTTGTGACAGAAATTAATATTACATTTTTGGCCTAAAGAATTACAGGTTTTGGTTCAGAAATTTTATTTCAATCACTTTAGAGCATCCACAATCGTGAGGCTCATAAGAGTTCTTAAGAAAAAGGGTATTTTGAATTTAGTAAGAATATCTCGGATTTTTTTTTAAATGATCATTTGCGGGCTGTCACATGTCATAGGGACTCGTAAATACTGTAAGGATTCGCTAGGAAACAGTCTTTATTTAGAGATTTTAAGAATCGAATCTTTAATTTTTTTGGGATCTACTGATTATTTAATTAGGGGGTGTTATTCAATTAGTGATTTAAAATCAATTTAAAATATTTACAATCTATTAGATTTTTAAATTTTAAGATTGTTAAAGTTGATGGATTCTAAAATCTCTTAAATACTCTTTAGATTTTGTGTTTAATCATTTATTCATTTGAATCTATCACTGGTGATTTGAAATCCAATTATATTACAAAGAATTTTAAAATACTTAAAAGTTGAATAACACCAAATTTTAAAATCCAAAATTTAATCATAGATTGAATAACACTGAATTTTGAAACATAATTTAGAATCATCAATTGAATAACAATGGATTGTGTTTAGATTTAAACTCTTTTAAAATACATGATTGAATAACACCATCTTATTCTCTAAGGACTCCCCTGTAAAGAATTCCATTAGAGTTAATGTAAGATGAAACCAAAAAGAAGAGAGAAAAATTTTGTCAGTGAAAATGAAGGTTTGTTACGGGGAGATAATCAGATGGATTGGGGTCCACAGGACAATCACTGCACCTGATAACGTTTTGGCCCCACACTCCTTACAGCACTACAGTCCTCATGTCACCACCACAATCAATCAATCTCTCTCTCTACTTATTGAATTACAATACATGATTCCTTTTTTTTTTGGCATATTACAATACATGATTCTTTATTATATAATTTAACGAGATATTGTAAGTCTGCAATAATTCTAGTTCACATTTACTTCTATTTCATTGTCTCCATCTTTTTGTAACTTTAGGCCCTTGCGTGTAGATTTTTAAACCCAAGAGAATAGAATTTTGCAGAATTCTAATTGAATATAATAACAATTCAAAAATTATTATTTCTTGATTATGACCTTTTATAAGTAAAATGTTAAGTTACATTTTTATTTAAAGGTAAGTAAGCACAAAAGAATAGCCTGAAATAGTCAATCTTTTCTTTATAAGTTGCAACGTTTGCTAAAGACAAAGACTATTTTACGTCTAACAAGTTTTTCATACTAGACCAGAGCTAAGTTCAGATACGTTGTTTCAAACTAGTCTTGATTTGAATATCTGAACATCATATATGAAAAGCAGATCGATTTTCAGTGGGGACAAACGACAAAGAAATAAAGATAAAATGAATCATGTACTTCAAAACATTTAACATTATGTTTCCTAGCATATACGATCGAACGAGATATTTTTATGTTTTGTGTATCGTTTTTGTTCGACCATGTAAAACAAACGAGCCACTTTGCTGTTTTCTATTTGCTTTAAAATAACAACCTCAAGGGCCAAGTGAGAGAGATTGGTGGGCCAAGACAAGAGATAGGCCCATCTCGTTCTCGATATATTAATTTCTCAAAAATGTTGGCAATGTTCTTCGATATAATAATATCTCAAAATTTGAGAATTTGTTTTACATTAAAAACGTAAAGTTACGGAGAAGATTTTTGAAAATTTTATACTTGAATTTATAAGTTAATGTTTCATTAGAGCTGGAAAGAGTATGCCAAAATTGTTCGGCGAACACCTAAAACTATTTTTATGCATAATTTAATTTTCTTGTGGATAATGAACACCAAGATGATTGAAAATCGAGACAGCGACACTAACAGTAAAAATAAAACCATTAAAAACAATAATGATAAAAAGTGTCATATTCTCCTCAAAATCCAAAAACCTGACAGAGAAAATCTCGTGTACTATTTAATCACTCACTCACTCACAAGAAAAAAAAATTCAAATTTAAATCAAAAGTAAGAAAAAAAATCAAAACTAAAAATAATCTCACGTTCTCACGTATTTTTGTTTTTTTTACTTAACAAAAAATAATACAGAAAGTAAAAAAAAAATAACGGCAAAACAAACGTATTACACAGCCGCCGAACACCGTCGCCACGACCGGCGCCGCCAGGTAACCCACGATTAACTGCTTTGTTTTCCTCGTGTGCTTAATCTTGCTGATTTTCGTCACGGCCTTCAAGTGAATCACTAGCCTGAGATTCGCCGGAAACTTGCCGTCCATACTGACTTAAACTGGAGAGAATATTATGATGTTGTTGTTGTTGTTGTTGTTGATGATGATGTCTCTGTGTATTATGATGATCACCACCGTCACTTCTTCCACCTTCATTATTATTATCTTCATTAATCTCATGATTACTACTGGTTGCCAGCTGTTGTCCAGTAAGAAATGCCATTGGCGCTGCGAAATTCATAAAATGTAAACCGCTCGAAACCGCCCCACCTGAAACGCCCGAAACGCTACTTCTGTATAACGCAGCAGCCGCAGTGTTAATCGAAGGAAACGTCCAGACAGGCTCTCCACTTCCACCGCCTCCAACAGAACCTCCTGTTTGGTTATTATTACCACCACCCGCCGCACCCGCACCCGCAGCCGCAACCATCCAGAAATTTCCTGGTATTTGAGCGGTTGTAGCGGTAGAGCCGCTGTTGCTAGACTGAAGCGTATAGCCACCGATTTGATCATGTTGATGATGTAGATCCGACGTCGTCTGGAGTTGGAGTCTTCGTTTCTTGTCTGAACTCAACTCTTCCGAATCTTGATCTCCTTCTTGCTTTGTCGGATTATGGAAGTTCAAAAACGATGTAGTTGGGGTGAAGTTATCAATACCAGGAAAGAGAGACGACGTCGTTGCACGTCCCTGTAGATGATGGTGAGGGTGAAGAAACCCACCACCGCCACTTCGTTGTTGTTGTTGTTGAAGTAACGATGGAGAGAAGATGTTGTTAGGGCTAAAAGTGGAAGCGGCGTTACGGTAATGAGAAGGGAGAGACATGGAGGAGCCTGAAGAACGGAGAGAGATGTTGAGAGAAGTGAAATTCGCCGGGATAGTTCCTGTTCCGGTGGCGGCGATAACTGACGGCTCAGCTTGTTGGAGAAGCCACTCGATAGTTTCACCGTCGGATTTATGGCCGAGCTCGCGTGTTAGCTGGAAAACCCTAGCTGCGCATAACGCAGGCATCCTTATCCTCCTCCCTCTTCCGTCTACTTTGGTGTGTCTATCTTTAGTCGACGCTCGTTTTAACGGCGGCTTTTTAGCTACAACCACAGCTGACTCCTCTAAGTCTTTTTGTGGTTGTGGTTTTTGCTGTGGTTGCGATTGCGGTTGCGATTGGGATAACTGTTGGTGCTGGTGGAGGGAGAAGAGAGATGAGGAAGAAGAGGGGGAAGGTTGTTGTTGTTGTTGAGTGTCATCGGGGTCTCGTTTTCCGAGAAGTTGAAAAGGAAAAGTTGGCCGGTGATGGTGGTGGTGAAGGTGACGGTTGTGATCATCTCCTCCTCCTCCTCCAACGCTATTTTCACCGTCCATTATGACATTTAAGAGAGTAGATGATGGCTTTTGCATATATAAGTGGGAAAATAATAGAAAAGAGTTCGAAGGAATTGAGTGAGAAGGAGAGGATAAGAGAGAGAGAGAGAGATGGAATGGGAAGAAAAGCTTAAAGAAACAAAGATCATGAGTGAGAATTATATGGGTGAGCTTTACAAAACATTTTTCTTAATAAATAAAGAACTAAAAGTAAATTAAAACTCTCATTGCTTCTTTATTTAATTTTTCCAAGCAAATAAAAATTTCATGGCTTCTTTGTATACACTTTTTTTTTTTTTTTTTGTAACAGCTTCTTTGTATACACATTGATTAAAAAAAACAAGTAAAAGAAACGTCAACAATGGGAGTATTATTTAATAGTTGGAGAAAATGAAAGTATAATTTTATCAACGCAAATGGACTGAACGATGGATTCATGTAATTAGCAAATATAGTTTGAATGTAACCCTAGATTTGAAACTTTCAACGTCAGTTTCCAGCTTGTATGTCAAATCAATTCGTTAAGAGTTAAGAAAGAAAAATCTGTCATTATTACATCCAATAGTTTTTGTATGTTTTAATGTGTCATTACATCCAAAATTGACGATTTTATTAAATATTTCTCATCTTATTTGCTACTTTCATGTATAACTAATAAATAAAGAACTAAGATAAATAAGAGCGACACCGTAAAATGGACTACAATATTCACAGTACAAGAAAAATACTTTTTTCACGACTAGTTAAAAAGGGAAAAATCTGAACGTTGCGGTAGTAAATGATATGAACTGTACAACGCCATCTTTAACATATAAAAGAATCTTTCATACTATACGTAAGAAAAATAAAATAAAATAGGGTTAATTTTAGTAACAATAATGGTATATATGAAAGATATGGTTGGAGAGAGTCGTTGTGGCTGCAGAGTCCACGTGAGGTGTCCTCTTTTATCATTCATTCCATAAAGACAATGAAGAGGTCGACGCGAAGGTGATGGGCCCCACACTCCTCTTAAAACTCCTCCTTTGGTCAAAAATTTAGAAATATATTTTCAAACTACTGGGCCCACATCATTCACGTAATCATTCTTCCCCTGCTACTTTTGCCGGAAATAACATTGTCATAATTATTATTCATATTCATATATTTAAATATTAATTAATAGTTAACCAAGTTTATTCTCTTTGGATTAACTAACCAAAAATCAAATCTCCAATACAATGACCACGTAACACCACTAGCAAAAGCTGAATCGTGTATTTCGAATGCAAAGCTTAATATTTAAAAATGAAAAAAAAAAATAATAATAATAACTCAGATCCTTCAAAATTGTATTCTGGTTATATACAAATAATATGTTTATTCAGGTCCTCGCTGGAATTGTCCACTATATATTTGCTATTATTTGAAGAAATGGTATAAGTTTGTACACGTATATTACAGAACTCTTTTGACGTTTTGTGATATTACATATTTCGTTTACAAACAATGTCAAATGTTTAAATTAAATATATAGCAATATAAAGTACATTTTATTTTACATTAAGTAACAGTGTTAAAAGGATACATGATGAATCAAAAGTATCGTAGATCAATGTGGATGATGATAGGTTTGGGATTCCCTCTTTTATAATTGTTATTTGTACAAAAACTTTGATAAATATGAATGATTATATATGATGATGGTACTTGCTTTCGTCTAATGGGATCTTAATTAATTGTTTTGGTTAGGGTTTAATAACAAAACAAATACCTGGCACTAGCTAGGGCGCCTCAACCTTGAATAATTACTTCCTTTGGTTTATTACTCAACTAAATCACTAATCAATTCGTTTGTACTATTAGTTAACTATTTTAGACTGAAGTCTACGCCCACCTAAGACGGGATCAAATAGATTGATTGTATGCTTAAATATTGTAAAATGACAAAAACACAACTGGTCAGTGTCAGACTAAACTAAATAATACTATTTACCATGCGTCATGTAAATTATAATAATTTCTCTATAATATATATATATCTATATTATTATTTGCGAAGTGATTTTTCGCAATAGAGCTCTCATGTTAAAAGTTGAAGTAGTTAATATCGTTTATACCCTTAATGAATAATTAAAATTTTTAATATATAATTAACCATAAAAAACGAATTTCAGTGGTTTAAAATTTATCCTTATCTAAAAATATTTTCTAATGTTTTAAATAGTCTTTATTAATCTTGAAAATAGTTTTATTTGTTAATATATAATTAATTATAAATTAAAAACGAATTTCATTAATTTTATAATTATCCTTATCTAATTTGTTTATATTGTGTTATAAAATATTTATCAACATTGAAAACTAATTATATTTGTTAATCTATAATTTATCATTAATTAAAAAACTCATTCATTTGATAATTATAGATAAAAAATAATTTATATTGTGTTATCCAAAAAATTAATTTTCATCTTATTTTAAATATAAAACTGAAAAAAATTCCTACATATTATTTTCTATATATTTTATGTATACCAGAGTATTTCAAATTTATTTACGCAATAAAAGATAATTTTATTATACTCAAATTTTTTCATATCTTAAAATTTGATATTAATTTACTAAATATTTTAACTTATAAGTGTTTTTAAATTTAATTTATGTAATGGCAATTATTATATTATGAGGAAAAACATAATATATAAAAAAGTTATTATTAAATATCTTGAATATATAAACAATAATTTATTTTAATGTTACTTAAATTGATTACATATTTATTTATAAAGATTTGTAAAATCATTAAGCCTGCATGTGCCGGCAAAAATGCCTAGTATATATATATATATATTAAATGAATAACATATTTCGGGATACTCTAGGCTACGACGAATCCAAATGTAAAACTCCTAGTGCTACGACGATCCATCTTTGATAAATACTCTATGTACCTAAAATACGGGAAAGTGATCATAATTATAGGTGGAATCAAATAGTTAGACCATTTTTTTTTAGTTAGACCATTTCTTATTCTTAGCTAAGTTAAAAACTATCTTAACTTTTGAAGATGTTTTTTTCTGGAGAAATGGTTAAATTTTGAAGATGTTAAACTAAACTTCTGCTATAGTAACGTGCTTTTGTTTTAATTGGAGACACAAGTAGAACGACATACAGACAAGAAAATACAATTGAGGATTTGGATTTGAAATAAATGTGTTCCATTTTTGTGAAACAGTTTATATTAATACAACAAATTGGTTGGTCCGTTTGATGTAAACATATCTTAGCTTATTGTACAAAACAGGCTGGGCATGTTTAAATAACTAAATGTATGATACCAGAGGTGGGTCATCTTTTATGTTACTAACATTAATCTCATCAATTTAGAACGATGTTAGGGCAATTATAATGGTGATATCTAAAAAAATAATCTAAAACACGAATAAAATTTCAAAAGCTGAAAATCCAGAAAGAGAAAGGTGAAAGAGTACAAAATCTAGTTTAAGAAGTTTCACATTTTTCTGGAGATACTCTCATAACATATCACTTTTTTTTTTTTTTTTGTAACACTCATAACATATCACTTATAATTTAAAATTTGATTATTAATTAAAGTATACTAAACTACCACCATTATACATATATATATATATATATATATATATATATATATATATATATATGAGATATTGTTGATATATGATATGAGTGTTGTAGGAATTAATGATTCGACTGAAATGCACAAGTTACAACTTTTCATACCACAATATTCAAAGTTCGTTTTTGAATTGACTATTCATTCATTTTTAGAGTTTCATATATATTGTATATCGTTAAACTATGTTAGAGATAATTTTCCTCTTTTTCAGAAGCAACACTGACAAGCATGTGGATGTGTAATTCCTTCCATCCAGGTTTCCTCACACCAAGAGTTGAGTAAGGGTCTTGGGAAGCATGCATTTTTTTTGTTTGAAAGCTAGCATGCATGAGTTTTCTACTTAGGATTTCTCGAAACAAGAGTTCTCCTATTGGGCTATAGCTCAACAGTTAATCAGATACGAACTCTAAAGGGTTACCGTCGCATGAGGATATGTAGAAACCGACACGCTACTGACCACTAAACCGTATGAAGTCATGCTTTACAAATGCCTAAGCATGTGGCAAAAATTCTTAACATGAAGCCTAGTCTAGTTCATCGACAGACATGGATATAAACATTAACGTCGTTTTCAATCATCTTACATGTTACATCTACAGCCATTAACTTTGGGATCGGATGACAAGACATTCATATACCTAATAATTAAAATCTATAAATATTGTCCTTTCACATGTGACAAAAAAACACCCCCGTGAAAATAACCTGCGGGTTGCCATATTTTTACGAGCCATAACTCTTAAACATGGACGGGGGTTAAAGAAAAAACATATCTTACTAAACACACATAAAATACAAAGAAATGGCTCTAAGGTACCATAACTATCCGTCCGATTTTCTTATAATTTGTTGAACATATATATATTGACAAACACTATACTGATCCTCCAAGTATTTTGTAATTGTTTCTAATCTATCTAGTACTTAACCAAGTATTCTGACGCATGCAGTTTGAGAAAAAGAATCTGAATACCCAGTTCGAACAATCTATCTACAGTGATGTAAGCTCATATATATATAAAAGAATACAAGTTGAAGAAATGTATTTTCAATAAAAGGAATTATATTATTGGATATTATAAATGCTTCTCACGTTTAAAAAACAAAAATTAGATCGCATGATACACTCTAATTAAACTGCTGATAGGGTTCGTAGACAACACAGACTGCTCAACTATAATTCTCTGTCGATTTGAAAACATTATTTCAGATATAGAATTAATTAAAAGATATATACATATATATCTATATTATTAAAATAGAAGTACACTTATAAAATACTGCTGCATTTTTCTAATTATTTACAATGTTATGCCAATGAAGTTATTAATTACACTACCTTATAGGATTCTTTATCTTT